ATCTTTTAGCTATATAAGGTAAAGGATATTGAAAGGATAATTGTATGAAAAAACAGTGTTGTGTAAGATAAAATTGCTGCGATTTGTGCTCGTTCGTGAAACTTTATGTAAAAAATGTTGTGTTGCAAAATCAAGAGTTGAGGCTACGATTTATTAAATGCGAATTATTCCAACTAATACCTAATTCGAAAGTACCTTCATACCTGCGTTAATCAATTTATTCTGTGTGCATTAGGCGACCTATGTTGCACAAGATAATTGATTTATGAATAAATAAACAGTGTTGAGTAATTACTTGAATTTAAGTACTGCTGTACTTGGCGAGTGTTGTTTGTTCAATCTTTCAAACTTGAAAAATCAGTTTCTTTAACATTTTTTAATCTTTTGCAACACTTATTTATAATTGTACTTCTATACATGTGGCAAACAGTGTTGAATAAGTGTTAAATTTTTAATAGAATTTGCTACGATCTTTCTTTTAAAAGTGTGCCAAGGATTAAAAATCCCTAGCCAGTGTTGGACAAGACCTGCCACAAGTTGATTGTTTGAGCTAAAATGAATCATTTAATCTCTGCAATTATTTCTTTTAGGTTAAACTTTATTCTTTGCAGTCAATAAATTCTGACTTATCTTATACTTATTATTTTAAATATTTTAAAATATTTTAAAACGTTTAAATTCGTATACCTATTTTTTTCTGCACTCATTTCCGGCTCTCTATATTAATTTACAATTTATTTTCTGGGTTTTATTTTACGGTTCCGTCTGGTTCATAAGGCACTTACCTTGGTATCTGTTCTTTTCGAGTGCTTCCTTTGACCTTTTCTCTGCTTATCTTCCTTTTAATATATATATGTACATATATATTCTTGTTCACTTGTTTTTTTTTTGACGAATAATTGAATTGGTCATCAAAATGTATACGAGCAAGCTGCTGCTGATAGCGCTTGGAAGTTGGAGGATTTCACAAACAAATTTGTACTTACAACGAAATGTCAATGATAACATTTTACGAAACGGCAAATCGCAGCAGAAAGTGCACAAAAAAAAATGCATTTAGCTTGAAGATTAAATTGTTTGTCCGTATTATTGATGGTTGTTTCCTGAACAAGAAATTTAATCTTGAAATAAGGAGGTTTTTTTTTAATGTCAATATATTAAACTAACTGAATGATTGACAGAATGGCTGACAGACTGACTGAATGAATGAATTCCACCCGCAAGCGTGGAAAAATCACGTGATAAGTTTCTGTGAAACTTTTCCACTTGCAATCCGATCGGCCTCAAACACATTTTCGCAGAGCTTTATTGAAATTCGTTTGAGGCGTGTTTCACACGTTTTGGAATATCCATTCCACCTTGGTGGAAATGGCGGTCATTTGCAAAGATCTTGATGAAAACTCGCATTAGTCGTGTTCCACACTTTTCGCAGAATCCAAGCTTCATCGTTAGAAAATGCGTTTCAAGAATATGTTAAGGAATATGTCAGCGCTTTTGGCATTTCCGCCCGCAAATGTGGTAAATGGGTGGAAAACCTTAGCATGAAAGTTCTTTATTTGTCATTCGATCGGCTTCAAAATTATTCTCGAAGTTCTGTGTGAAAAATGATGTGAGACATGTTGAATGATAAATCCGCTCAAAGGTGCAATGGGCCAAGTTTCGACTGTCCGCTCATTCGCAACGATCTTGGAGAAAAGTCAATTGAGACGTTCTTCAAACTTTTCGCACGAAAAACATATGTCAAGCGCCTAAGTCAATTATTTAATTTCTAAAAATATAGTTTATAAAATGCATTCAAATATAGTAAATCTATTAATAAATACAAATATAATATTCTGCCCATTATACCATAGTTTAAAGGGCTGAAACGTAATATTTTTCAGTCTCTGCATGTGTGTTAGTAAAATGCAAATGTATTAGTGAGCTTCGCCTGCAAAGCTTTCGCCTGCCCAAGCTGCGCTGCAAGCTCACACAAACGCCTTCCGTACGTGTGCGCTGTACGTGAGCCAAATAATATATGCAAAGCAATTAATGAATATACAAAAAATATATTTATATATACGAAATGTTGAATAAAATTTATATTGTAATTTTAATGATAAAATATAGATAAAAGCTTTGTTTGCCGTTTCTTGGAAATGCTCACCTGCATATTGTTATATATATATATATCTCTGATGCATACATATGCTTGGCGCATTTTATTGTTGATTTGGAATTGGCTAATAATATTTTGAATATGTGTATGTGTTCCGCTTTACAGCATGGATGCCCCCACACAGTCTATATACCCGCATTCCGCAACGCTTTTCGCTGCCATCTGTGCCTGCGTATTTGTGACCATCGGCGTATTCGGTAAGTAACTGCAGCAGCTTTTAATACCTTTCCCCTCCCTTCCACCTCCTTTGTGTCGACTGATTGACTGACTGACCGACTGACTGATTGAAGATCCACGCAGATCCACTGACAGATTAAAGACCCATTTAGTTTCACGCTTAGGCGTGGTTTGGAATAATGTGAAAAATGGGTGGAAAAGAAAAATTTACAGTAACCTGACAAAAACTCTTCAAAATCTTTCCAGTCTAGTGTAATTTTCGTCTAAAATTCATATGCAAAGCTTTACATAGCATAAGGAAAGTAATCGAAAGTCCGCGATAAAGTCGAATGCTAAAAAAAACTGTAGCTTACAGATTTCAAGATTTTCCTTTCACGAGCTGTCAACTTATTTGCAAAGCAAAAACATTGTAATAAAAATATAAAAACAAATTAAGAACGTATTTCGGCGATTTTGCCAAATCCACCTCTAAGATCGGAAGCTGAGCGGAAAACAGTCGAAAAAAACATTTTCAGCCAATCGACTTCAAACTAATAATAACTTAGGCACATGGAATCCACAGCTTTTGCAAAATCCACCTCCACGCGTGGAAATGAGCTGCGTAAAAAACATTTTAGTTAAATGGTTTTCAGTCCATTTTCAAAACTTCATTTGAACAAGAGTAAAACCTATTCCACGGGCGTAAGCGGATTCGAAATTTGACTGTCCTGGCAATGCCGGGTAACACTCCCGACTTTCTTTATGTGTTAACCCTCATGTAACCGAATAAACCTTTCCAATTGCAGGCAATCTGATAACGCTGCTGGCGCTGCTCAAGAGCCCAACGATACGCGAACATGCGACAACCGCCTTTGTCATATCTCTGAGCATATCGGATCTATTTTTCTGCTCGTTCAGCCTGCCCCTGACAGCCGTGCGTTTCTTTCAGGAGGTGCGCAGAATCGAATCGATAAATAATATATGCTCACGAAACTAATTCGTTTTCCATAAACTCTACAGAGCTGGACATTCGGCAGCACGCTGTGCAAAATCTTTCCCGTCATCTTCTATGGCAATGTGGCCGTCTCCCTGCTCAGCATGGTGGGCATTACACTCAATAGGTAGGGTATTTCAAAGTCAGAGTCAAAAGGCATTTTTAAGAGCCGAATATTTTATTGAGATCGGAACACAAGTACCGAAGTTACTTAAGAACTAATTGAATTCTTGTATTATTATTATTATTCTATTTGAAAATAGTGAAATTGTCTGCTGCTTGTTTGTTTTTAAGATTGAATTTCTTTTGTATTCATCCAGGTACATACTCATCGCTTGCCACAGCAGATACTCACAGATCTATAAGCCCAAGCTGATCACGCTGCAGCTGGTGTTCGTTTGGGCCGTATCCTTTCTACTGCTGGTGAGCCAAGTCAAATTGTTTCCAATTTTCTTTGTTTGATCGAAGTGGAATCGTTTCGTTGTTTAGCTGCCACCCATACTGGGCATATGGGGCGAGATGGGCCTGGACGAGGCCACCTTCTCGTGCACAATACTCAAAAAGGAGGGTAAATCGATCAAGAAGACTTTGTTTCTGATTGGCTTTCTGCTGCCCTGTCTGGTCATTATAATATCATATTCCTGCATCTATATAACTGTGCTCCATCAGAAGAAGAAGATACGCAGTCATGATAATTTTCAAATTGGAGCCGCAGCCGGCGCCAAAACAGGCTCAGCATCCGGCTCCTATGTGACGACAACGAGCACACGCAAGGCACGCGAGGACAATCGCCTCACAGTCATGATGGTCACCATATTCTTGTGCTTCCTCATCTGTTTCCTGCCGCTGATGCTGGCCAATGTGGTGGACGATGAGCGCAAGACCAACTATCCCTGGCTGCACATCATCGCCTCGGTGATGGCCTGGGCCTCCAGTGTCATCAATCCGATTATCTATGCGGCCAGCAATCGCAACTACAGGTGTGACCCTTGATAATATACAATTCCATTTGCTAATTGATCACATGTTAAATATATATTGTACGCAGGGTGGCCTACTACAAGATATTCGCATTGCTGAAGTTTTGGGGCGAGCCGCTGTCACCGATGCCAAGTAGAAACTATCACCAAAGCAAGAACTCAAAGGAATTATCGGGCGTTATTCGCAGCACGCCATTGTTTCATGCTGTTCAGAAGAATAGTATTAACCAAATGTGCCAAACATATTCAGTATGAGAGTCTTTTGTATTCGAATTTGCAATACGACATTAACTACTTATTAAAATATACCATATATGGTATACACTCTTTTTTTTTCTTTAATTTATGTTTATTTACACGAAAAACAAATCAAACAGCATAAGAAAATAATATATAGATATATACATATAGACTATTGACGATATATTGTAATTGCATTTTAATTAACTGCCGCACGCTGCAAGCGTGAGCACAACATTCCCGACTTTTAACAGAAGTCGCTACAAATAGCCAAAATATAAACTGTACCAATTAGTGTAAATTTAACAATTAGATTAAAAATAGCTGTAAAATAGCCTAAATGTCAGCACAATTTCACCACGATGTCAATTGGTTAGAGTGAACCGGTGCGTGTGGTGAATAGCTGCAAATGCTAACGGTACAACTCACGATATTAGCGCAGTGGCAGCGAAATTAATCGATAGACAATAAGTTATGCACATAACACGAAATAATGCAGGCGTTCAGTAGTTAAACAACCGTTGGCTGTATCAAATAGCTACTAACGATTTGAAGAGTGGTTTATGTTTTGTTAAAAGTATTTTTGATCAACAACCGTTACGTTGTTAACTAACTGAACGCGCACACTTGTAAGCATTAATCTTTATCGATATTTCAGAGAACAGAAAACAAATATTCAAATTAAATTCAGCTGTTCCGTGTATGTTCTGCTGTCCAAGCTGATTGCGCAACGCCCATATGAAGCTTGTGTGCCTGTGTGCGTGTGTGCGTGTGGTGAGTATGAGTGTCTTCTGCATATGAGTATGTGTGGTGAGTGCGTTTTGTTTACATGTGTGTGTGTGTGTGTGCGTTTAAAGGGTTTGTTTGCTGTTCGGGCAAGCGCCTAGCACTGCCTGCCATTGGCCTGATCAAACAATTCGGAATTAAAAGTCTTATCGCTAGCGTATGGGAACGGCTCGATGGCATCCTCATTGATTATCTCGAGTATTTTCTTGACCACGTCCGGATTCTCATCTCGGTTCTCCTCGCAAATGACCTTCACATCGCGCAGCTTCGACACATACATATCGCGATCCTGTTCGGCCCGTTCCAGTTCATGGAGCACGCCATGCATATCGAACTGATCATCGGCCAGCTCGATAACCTCCTTCTCCTTTCGATAGGTCAAGTGTGCATCACTAACGAATGTGCGAGTGCGCACCTGATGTGCGCTATATACGGAGCGTGCACTGTTCGACGGACCCTTGGAGCCGTTGCCGGAGCTCGAGCCGAAGCCCATGGTGACGCCATCGCGCACGGCCAAGGCATTATAGGCCTTGCCCTTGTTGTTGGCATTGAAGAACTTCCGGAACCATTGCAAGAACTCAAAATTGTCCTGAAAGCGGCCCTTGATCAGCCGCTCAATGGGTATCTCCTTGTGTACGGCCTTCTTCTGAAAGCTCGCCTGCAGCAGCTTAAAATTGTGCACAAATTCGTGCTCCTGATTGGCCCGAAACTTGATGCGTTTAATGGCCACCGAATTGGGGAACAGCATGTCCATAAATTGGCAATAGGCAGCGCCTGTGTGTGCAACAAAAGTGTGACCAACAGAGAGAGAGAGAGATGAAAATCAAGTGAGAAAAAGATGGTTGCAAGCGCAATACGATTCAAAAACCGATTGCAACAGGCCGATAGGTGTTATCGATTAATGAACTTGGCGCGTGCAAAACGGTAGACCGTTAGAAAATATCGAGCTATGCATTTTGTGAGCAAAGCTCATCTTTAGGTGCTTAATTGGAGACATACCTGTGCAGAGCTCCTCGATCTTTGTGAATTCAGCTTTCATTTGTGTATTGACCCAGGACAACATCTCGTGACGCGACCAATTTTGCGATGAGACATTTGTCGAGTGCACGTTGACGGCCATTTTGCCTCGATCCATTGCGTTCGCTTATTGTTTATCGATTCTACGCACAATATATATATATATACATATATATATATACATATGTATATATATATATGTATTATACTAGTGGAGAGTTTTATTTATTTTCCCAAATTCACCGAGTCCCTAAGTCAACCACAGCTTGCTAAGTTAATATTCAAGGCGCATTGCCTAAACTCCATATACATATACATATATATCTGCCTGTACTAAAAAGCCAACTCTGCATCGTAACGAAAATCGTCAACAAAAGTTTCAAGCAATTGCGGGACAGTGTGCGCTACGTTAACCCTTCGATGGGCAGCGTAACTTATTGTCAGTATTGTAAACTGTGCAAAAGAAATTCACAGAATAAAGCTAAGGCTCGTGTGCTGCTTTACACCTAATTTGCTCTCTTAAACGCCGTTTTCCAGCGAAGCTTAAGGTCATTGCTCTTAAATGAAGGCCTTTTGCAGAAGTCTCAGCTTCAGTGACATAAAAAGCGTTTAACTCTTTGATAAACGTTTGACGACCTCTTGTTAAGCTGTAGACATGCTCTTGACAGCTATTGCAGCTAAGGCGCGAAAGCTGTTAGCTTTATGTTCAAACTTGCCAAGCTTTGGCCTCTCTCTTTGCTTTGCCTGGCAGCTCCTTGGAAAGCGTTTCGACAGCTTTGAACACTGGAGAAAAAAAACGCACTACACGCGGGCTTTTTTTTTGGTTTAACACAAATACACATGGTTGGTCACATTTAAAAAAAATGGTTTTATTCTTATTCCTTTTGCTTTGTTTTTCTTTTTCAGGAGAATATTCTTAGCGCACACTAGTTATTAACAACAATTGTTGCTGCATTTAAATCTATGCCTTGACGGCATATTTGCGTTGCGGGAAGATGGAACGCTTGCGGATTTCCTTAAGGGTCTTGCGGTTGGCGTCGCGCGACGACAGGGCCTTACGCATGGCGCGGGTCTTCTTTTTGCGCAGATCCAAAGGCTTGTACTTCTTGTTCTTGAACACCTTGCGCAGATTCTCCTTCTGCTTCTGGTGCATCACAATGTAGACGCGAGCGATGGCTTTGCGCACAACGCGGCTGCAATTCAACGAAAACAAATTAGTCAAGAAAATAGAAGGGGCAGAGGGGGGGGGGGGGGGACTTACATCTTGGACAGCTTGGAGGGTGCTCCACCGGTGACTTTGGCCACGCGCAGATTGAGCAGCTCATTCTTGAGCTCATCCAATTGCTTGGTGAGCTCCTTCTTGTCCTTGGTTCTCAGCTCTGAGCACTTGATCTTCACCTGTGAGAATAGAGCCAAATGGAATTTTGCAACAATTTAGTTAACAATTCGTTTCGAACGCGCACACACAAAAAATAATATATCACACTATAAATATGCACAGTTCGGTTCGTGTTTCATACATTTCTTTATTATTTTATGCACGGATGTGTTTTATTTTTAAAAATTTATAATTCACAGAAACTCGGTACCAACCATTTTTCTCGCTGGTCACGTCAAAAAAGAAAGAACTAGGGTCGCACAAGCGATTGAGGGCTGTGCACGAAAACAAACAGACGATTTTGACACATGACAGTTGTGCCACTTTTCAACACTAGAATGCTGCTCAGCACTGCTGTTTGTGGAGCAATGCTGTTAAGCGACAGTACGGCAACGCCAATATATCCAGCCCACAGCCCCCGCACAACCAAAGCAATTCCACAATTTGTTTAAGCTCACTCGTAAATGAACGAATTGTAAAAACAAAACGTAACAGATATACAAACAAATTGAAATCATGGCTGACAGAGCTATAAAGCTGCTAATCATCGGTGAGAGCGGCGTTGGAAAATCCAGGCAAGCAATCAACACAATTCCAATTCCAATTCAGTTTTTCAATTGCGTATTTCCAATGCGCACACATACACGCATGTAAACAATACCTAAATAGAGGTTGGCTCTACAGCACTTAGTCATTCATGTGTTTTGCGTATTTCGCATTCGACTCCAAAGTTTAGCCCATTGCTTGCCCTTTTTTATTATTTTAATTTTGATCCTATTTCAGCCTAATACGTCGTTTCGTTGAGAACAAGTTCGATGACAATCATGACGTCACAATCGGCATGGACTTCAAGAGCGCCATCATGAATGTGGATGGCATAGACTACAAGGTTGCACTGTGGGACACAGCGGGCGCCGAACGATTTCGCAGCCTGACGCCCAGCTTCTATCGCAAGGCGCTGGGCGCCATACTCGTCTATGATATCACAAATCGGGAATCTCTGGTCAAACTGGAGGCTTGGCTGGCCGAACTGGACAGCTACAGTGACAATCCGAACATAGCGATTATTGTGGTTGGCAACAAAATCGATCAGGAGCGTGTCGTGGATCGTGAGGAGGGTCGCAAATTTGCGCGCAAGCATCGTGCGCTCTTTATCGAGACATCGGCCAAATGTGATCAGTACGTTAGTGATGTGTTCAAGGATATTGTAGAGAAGGTGCGCTCTTTTCTTTATCATTTTGCATACTCAAATGTATACTCATTTTTTTTCAATATGTTCTCTATGCAGATTGTTTCCTCCGAATATTTTGGCAACGGCAATGCCTCGAACGGCATGACCATAGACAATGTCCAGGATGTGGATTCGGCTCCATCAACGTGTTATTGTTGATGCGTGCCCTGTGCTTCATTCTCGGTTTTTTCTTTTTTCTTTTATCGCTATTCGATAACTAATTTTGATAAATTTCTAGCGTGTATTTATTTAAACGTTTCAACTTCATTAGCATAAATGCTTTCTCACATATCCCTAAACAAAAAACCAAAAAAAAAGAAAAAAAAAAACAAAAATCAAAACGGTTCGGTAAGCAATACCACAGAATGTTAAATGTACCTCAACTGTAAATATAACTATCCCATAAATTAATGCAATTGGCTAACAATAATTTGCCCCAATGTTTTTATATATTTTCGGCAAACGAAAGAGAGCGATAGCGCCCCGTTATTCCCAACTCACCACGCTGCGCAGAAAGAGCGCACAATTGTGCCTCTCTCTCTCTCTTCGCAACCTCTCATAGCAAAAACATAGGTTTAAGGCTTACTTTTGTGTGTTTTTTTTTTCTTTCCTTTTATTATTAAATCTTAAATGAAGACATTGCTTCAAGTCAAAAGCTCTTTGCGCTAATTTTCATTAAAAAAAAAGAATAAAAAATAAAAGATACATTGTACACTAATTACCGCAAAAGTAGTAGACAAAAAGAAAAAACGATGTTTAGATAGAAAAATGTACATGGAGCACGATTGTTATTCATTTGCTTTTCATTCAATTTGATTGCTGTTGGTTTGTTTGTGTGCGTGTGTGTGTGTGTGTGGGTGTGTGTGTGTGTGAGTGTATTTACATATCGATGAATCTTCTTTTCTGTTTCTCTGTTTTGCAATTATCTCTAAAAACACAAGGTGACAAAATTGGTGACGGCGCGTTTCATAAGCGAAACAATTCCAGCCGCACACGCTATGTATGTACACTTTCTATAATCATAGTGTTTGGTTTATCGTATTATTATTACTTTTTAGTTTTTTTTTTTTTCTTTTCTGTTTTTGTTTCGTTTCTGTATAGTGTCTAGGCATTACAAATGTAACTTAAAGTATTGCAACCTCTCTGCAGATCGGTCGCTGTTATACACCACGTTGCCATCTATTTGCCAGCGATGCCACTCTTTTTGGCATCCAATTCGTAGATGAGCAGTCGCCACATTTTCACCACAAACACCTCAGCCTCCTCGTCCAGCACCTGTGTGGCAGAGAGAGAGAGAGAGAGAGAGAGAGTACTGTTTATAAATTTGCAGCAATGGTGAGTTGAGTGTGGTGGATCTTACCATTTGGACATCGTCCAGTATACTTTGGGGCGGACTGCCGGCCAATACTTTGGAACATATAAAGTCCACTAACGTTGGCTCCGGCTCACCGATATATTCGATGATTTTCTTATTGATCCATGGACGTATTTTGCGTTCCATTAGACCGCTGTCGATCTCGTTGCGGTCAAGCTTATAATTAAATAGCTCCTCCTTTTGTGTGGGTATCCTGTCAATAATGCTTTTTATATGGCGGCGTTTTTCATCATGCACCTTTGCACCATTCTCATCCTTTTTGGTGTTTGTCGCGGCAGCATCTGCGCTGCCCGCAGATGCGGCTGCATCATTCTTACCATGGTGTTTGCCGCCGACGCCACCGCTGCCGGCGCCGCTGCTACTGCTGCTGCCATGCTTTCCATGCTGGCCGCTATTCTTGCCACCATTTCCACTGCCCAGCGACCCGGAGGATGTTGAACCAGAGCCGCCGCCGCCGGCACCGCCACCGCCGGCATTGGCTATCTTTTGGCTAACGGCAGCGGCAGCAGCTGTCGCCGCTGATACAGCAGAACTTTGACGCTCCGCGGCCGTCTGGGATGCACTCATCGACGTGGTGCTATTGCTTATATTGTCATCGTAATCTGGAATAAACAACAAATATTGCATAAGTCTCTTAAAGGCATTTGGTTCTCTTAAGTGCCGCCAAAAATAGCGCTCTCTTAAGTTTGTCTGCAAGACAGGCATTTTGTATATGCATTGGCCTGCGGCTATGGTGAAATACACTATATATATATATATATTCACCACAGCTTAGGCTACTTATGCTGCGTGGAAATTAGAGAGCGAGAGAGCGAGAGAGAGCGCTCTCTTACGTTTGTGGGCTAGACTGGAATTTATATATGTATGCGTTATAATAATAATACAAGTTATATTTCCACACACACGAACTTTATATGTATAAGCCATAGCTTGGCTCTCTTCATGATGCGTGGAAAGCAAAGAGAGCACACTTTTGCGATTTGGTCTATGCTCAATTCACCAGGCTTAGTCGAAATCAAACACAACGTTCTCTCTTAAGCCTAATAAGCAGAGCAATTAAAAGAGCACGCAAGCGATCTCTTAAGTTAGTTATCTCTTAACGAAAGTTGGTTTAGGTTTAAGAACAAGTTGTCTATCAACTATCAAAACGTGGTTTTTGTTGGAGAATCATTCGCGCCTTGAAGGCGCTAGAGTTCGACAGGTAACATTCCCTAGAAGG